GGCCCAACATGAGGCAGAGTTTGGCCCAGATTCTGGCCAGAACATTTATAATCATGGATGCTATCTACAAGTCATGAGCCACAGAGTAGGGAAGGTTTGGAGCTGCAGATATCACCCTAGACACCAGAGATTCAAAATGGGCAGCCTCCCATCTAAGTACCATCTTTATTATTTACCAACAAGCCATGGCAGGCGAGTTAGGCCGGTGGCACGTTCATAGACAGGAGGCAGGCCGGTGCTAGCACCAGGCCTGGATGTTTACCCTGTCACATTATGCCATGGCCCAAAAAGGCCATTTGACTAGCTGAGAATTACTGAAGGGCAAAAGTGTAGAGGCACTGGGGCTATCTCCTAATGAGAGGAGAGCCCTAGCACAAAGACATTGCATCATTGGTGAAACCCCAAGGAGATTCTCTTTTACACAGAACTTAAACTGGCTGTCCAGGCTCATTAGTCAGAATCTGGCCCATAATGCCTGTAGAAGTCTAAGGAGACAAAACTGAAGAGATGTGCATCCTAGTTATACTTGTATAAATTGGGGTAACTGTCAATTCACTGAATTTACTGCAGATTTACACTTTAATAATAGATCTGAGAGTCTGACCCAACATGTACAAAGATTTTTGGTAAAAAAGAAAAGAGAATTTGGCCAATTACAAATTTACAAAAAAGTTATTTGAAGCTTTGCATAATTTCAATATAGAAACAACATCTTCTACACATAGCGTTGGTGTTCTTGTATGCATGAGCCCTTCAACTTTTTATTGATATTTTGAATAACACTTTTGCATGTAAATCCCTTAAATAATGTGTCATTTAAAAATTGTCATGGAAATGTAGACTCATAGCTTAGATGATTAAAGAGAACCAGCAGACTTCCTGTTTGTACACTTGAAATATATAGCTAGTGTTATGACTAACCTAAAATCTCTCTTTTATTAACCTGAATGTGCTAGATATTTTTATGTTAAAGCTATAATATATCAATGTTAAGATATATACACATTTTACTATAAAGAAAATCCAAAATTAAAAAACCCTGTAAAAGTGTCTAGCATTTCATGATGTTTGCAATTGTTATTGACCAAATCAGAAACATTTCAGAGTGCTTAAAAAAATTACATTTGTGGGATGCACGTTTGTGGTTTTAAACTGATTGGAAGATTTCATAAAAGACAAGTCTTACTGCTTTATCAGTTAATGAGAAAACTTTGCATCCCTCAGAGAAATTTGATTTAAATTCATCATTAAAACTGTCTACAAATTTTCTTTTTTATCTATGGATTTCCTGTTTCTGCCAAAACAGCATTTATCAATATCTCCCATTGATGATATTAGTGCAGCAAAGGTAGATCAACTGAGAGTCTCCTTCTTTTCCTTAGAATCCTTTCCATAAAATTGAATTTGAAATGCAAATATTCTGGTGTATGCCTGATATATGGTATTTGCCACATTTTAAAGGAAATATAATTATTTGGCTTTTAAGTACTATTACATATTCTAAAGGTCTTTGATTATAACATCAGCAGCAGTTAGTGTTTATTTTATAAATGTGGATTTTTAAAACCATTGCATTTGTTATGAAATTGTTTCCAGTTAAAGTTGAATATATTTTCAGTTTCCTTCCCATGCAGTTACTGAGTGATTATCGTGGTTTATTTCTATGATCTCATTTTCCTGCAGATAACATCGTCTTCAACACACCAAGGAAGTTGGGTTTTTTTAACTGAGCGCTAAATATTACTTTCTGTTTTTTCTACAGAGAGCAGGGGAGACAATCAGCGGAGATTCTGAAAGGTAATAATTTTGTCACCTTGTACTTGAAAGTATATATACCTACTGAATTCCATATTAATTATGTTTTTAAGGAATTCATATGTACTTTTCCCCTTTCTATGTTTTCTTGTGCAGTGGGAGGAAAGGTACAAGTAATTTGCAGCCTTTATTGAGAAAGACTTTGATATCAGTGATTTTATTGCATAACTTCTTCACTTGCTGATTATAGCAAGTATGAAGATAATTCTTTGATTTATAAAAGTTTTCTTGATTTTTTCCTGTGATTAAAATGGTTTCAGATATCAATTAAATAAATTTAAACTTTAATAAAAAGTTAACAGAGCAAACATCTTTCACTTTCTCTCTTCCTTAGTAGGCATTAGTATTTCCAAAGCAGTTTGAAGATGAAACAGGCCATGTAAATATTGAGTATTACTAATTTTGGAAATCAACTGCAGGCAGTAGTCCCTCTGTGATTATTTTTGTTCTATCAGCATTTAAAAAATGTTAATCCTGGCTGTATAAAAAATGTTAAGTACTATTTATCTTTTGGCATGCCTTTAATAAATGCTGGGGAGGAGCAATCCCTGTTCAGTTAATTCTTTAGGGTTTGTATATAGTCAAACAGTACCAAGAAACATAAATACTAGTGATACTATTTTTATTCATTTATAATAAGCTTGTTAAGTACACACAAAATACATTGCAAACTACATCCAAAACAATTCATTAAAGAGCACTTAATTTGTGAAGCCAAACGTTCAAATATTATGAAGTGCTAGAATTGAGATTACTTGTGTGAATTTGCTTGGGATCCCCAGATGTTTATGATGGAGCCTTTAAATATTTGTCTGTAATTGTGAGTGTCCAAGATGAAATGTTTGGGCCCCTGTTTTTCAGAATAGAAAGCATTTTTATAACACTTGCTGTGCTCGGTTCCAGTCAACTTCAGTGTCTGCTATGGATACATAGCTGCAAGTCTGTCTTCAACTATCTCACCATAAGCACGCAAAAATGAAAAACATTTAATTATTCTACAAATGTGAACATTTTTTATTTAAAAGTTTATCTTAAGTGGTTAAGCTTGAAAACACTTTAGAACCCTGTAGCAGAGGCAGAGATAAAACCCAGTCCTTTAGGGTGATATTCAACCTCTTTAAAGAGGAGACATTTTTTTCTCTGTTGAAATCCACTACCTCATGAATTACATAGTTTCCAGCTTCTTAAACAAATTGAGCAGACTACAGTCTCACTCACCAGATAATCTTAATTCATTCCTAGAGAACCATCCAGTGTGTGTACTGAATGATGCAAGGGTCATTAATTAAGACTGCATCATAATGTATATGCACCCTGAAGAGCTAAATTAATGTTTCATAGCCAACATTAATTCAGGGATTTCTTAACTTTTCTGTGTTTAACTTTGCCACTTTAGTGTTCCCTTTTTAACAGTAATGTAAAATTCCTAAAATTTCAGTGTAAAACAATAATTCCTCAAAAACTCACCCCTGGAAAGAGGTTGCTCCTAACTTTGTTCAGCAGTACAGTTTGTATCTAACTTCTGATTTACAGCACATCCCACCATCACCTGAGTTGAGAAAGTAATTAGTGATAGTAGCAGGCAATTGTCCTCTGGCTGTCACCTGTGCGCATCAGCACCATGGAAAAGGAGACATGCTTTGCCAATGGGTTCCACAGCTGTTTGTGGCATTTTTTATTCTACCCCAGGTTTTGGAGAAGTGGTCTACAGTCATGCTATCACCTGTCCCCTCTACTATTATAATCTCCATCCTGACATTAGCCTTCTCTCTCCACCCCTGTCTTTCCCCTGTTCTTTTCCAGGACGTGCACATACATGTAGCATTGATCTTTTCACCCTCTGCTCTTATCCGTGCTGCCCCACTCCTTTCTTCCCTGGTTCCCCTGTACCTGCCACCTGTGATCCCAGTGGTGGCCTACCTACCTATGAGCTTTTGCTCCACTTTCCCTTTGGTTCTCCCTGACTCCTAGTATAACTTTGCTTGGATCCCTCTCCTGTACCCTTCATACCTATGTATCCCCGTTCTGCTCCTATCCCTACAACTTCCTCCTCAGTTACTATACCGCTTTGTTTCCCCACAGCTTCTGGAACCTGCATTGTTTGTCCTTCTGTCCTCACTACCATTTTTCATCCATCCCTCTGCACTTCTGCTGCTTCCTCCCCCATTCTTCCTTCTGCCTGGATGCTAGCAAGGGAAATACTGAGAGCACAAAAGAGAGGCTTCTTTCTCTTAGTTCCTGTTTCCAGCACCATAGTAGCCTGAATGAACTGTTGCAGGAAAAGTTTTGTTCAGTCCCAAAATGAAGCATTCCTAGTCATTCTGTGAGGATAGCACATGCATAATCTGACAGAGATCTAGAAGAAGCAAGGGGATGACTAGAAATGCTTCATTTTGGGACTGAGGATGCTCAAGGAATATGACATCTTTAAAACAATGATCTGCCAAACACTAGCAAGTATCTTTTAAGCATGTTAGCAGAGAGAGGTCATTAATCATATTAGTGTGGGCCCAGGCAGAAGGCAAGGTAGATTTTTGCACCTTTAAAAACTAACTAAATCAAAGATGTATAGTATAAGTTTTACAAAACCTTGGCTAGGAGTGGGACAGCATGTATAGGACCATATACGGACCCATTTATGAAAGCTCGTGCTATACATCTCTGATTAAGTTAATCTGTGAATGTGTAGATATGCCCTGTTTCCCCCCCTACATCATATTTTAACTTGCTGAACAATTTTAACTGCATCATTTTAAAAAAATTGGGCTGGAACAAACAGTCACTAGAAGCTATTCTGCTTGGCTAGCCAAATCACTTAGAATAATAGGGTAAAGGAACAGTTATAGTACAGCATAAAGCAGTAACCTTGCTTATCTTTGCTGATGTGCTTTCATAAAAAACAGTACTTTGTGTTCGGTGACTATCAATAGCTACTGATTGGTGTTCATCTAAAAATAGTTTTAATCACAACCTCAGTACATACTGCATAGTTAATGAAGAATTATGGCATTATTGTAGTCATGGATGGATTTAGGATTTTCAAATTGGGGTGCAGATGGTGCAGCACATCATCACAGAAAACACAAAACATTTTTCTCCAGTTAAAGAGAAACTAGAAACTTTACTAATATGCTAGGGGGCCAGTGCTATAGTTTTCAGTTTAAGATTAAAGCAAAAACAAATATAATTATTGTAAGGTACACTTATTTGCTAGATTATATATAGTTTTAAAAAAAAAAACCAAAAACAAACCAGGTAAAAAAACACTCAAAATAGTCATAAGATATTGTGTCCTTAGTCCAGAAGTGATTGCAGTTAAAGGTATGTTTCTTATTGAGATTCATAAAACAAAATCTAGCCTTCTTGAGTGCCTTGATAGTGCCTCGAATACCTCACTGTCAGTCACTTCTACACCTGAGTTAAATTACCACACCTGAGATAGGTTTTTTTGGCTAGAGTTAGAAACAGTCTGCAGGGCTGCGAAATAGAAGAGAGACATTAGCAGAAATGGCTAACGGACAACAAAATTGCAGATAGTTTGAATAGTGGAAAATCAGGACCATTAAAAGGATAGAAGGTCATTAACACCTGTGGAATGAAGAAAGATTAGCTTGAATCAAGAAAACAGAAATGCTCTGCCCTTCCCAGAACTTGATTTTAAAATTTGGTTGCAGCAACTGTACCACTGTACTTCCTCCCTCCTCCCTCCCACTTTGCCCTCAGCCCATCTTTCCCTGATTGCAATTAATAACCAAGGAGAAATGAGGGAACAGATATTTTGTAAAATTCTTTCTTTACCGGGACAATATTTTCTCATTTTTGCATGTAAGTTTATGTGTAACAGTAGTACATGGTGCAGCCAAGCTTTAAGCTGTCTAGCTTATGTACTAGCAGCTGTATGATTGTCACAGTATGGGATGATGCAAAAAGTGCAAACTGTACCAAGAAGCCAGGAAAATACTTGGATAATTAGCTTACATAGAGCTGTGGGCTCTGATATCTGGACTGCTACCAGTGCTTGAATTAGAAAGAGTAAAGCTAGCTCAGATAGGTCTACACTACATTGCATTCATGTTCTGAAGTATAACTATATCTCAAGAAATATAAAAACTATGATTGTCATTTAATTTTTTTCTCCGAAAAAGTAGTAACAAAAATCTGTACAAGATACAGCACCTTTCCTTACAAATATATTAATTTGTACAATGTAATTTTAAGTCAGTGGAGTTAAACCTATGATGAATTTGGTCCCTTTTCTCTATACTTTAATGGGCTTTACTTCATCACTTTTAAGTTAGTGCTTCAGTCAAAGATCCATTAATACCAAAAATCACTATATGATGCCCTGAGAAATATGTTAGTATCTGTGCTCAATGTCAAAAGTTCAGGATCTAAAGCATATCCTGAAACTGAAGGTTTTAAGGAGTTTTGAATGATTAAAGGTTTGATTGCTGGCATAACCTAATGTAAAAAGTGTCATTTATCTTATAATTAGATCCCTGGTAAATATTACATCCACATACAGTAAGGTTTCCTAAGGAAGTCAATAAAAAATGCTTACAAACTTCTATCTTCCTCTTCCTCATTAATTTAACATAAGGGCCTTAGATGCAGCTAGACTGGACCTGGCACTTCTCAAAAGTAAAGCACAAAAAGTAAAGAGTGTTTTTTACACATAGCCTTAGTTTGGGGGCAGTTCAGCAGCAATTAGGGATTAGAACAGGCTTTGAGATGCACCAAAACAGGTGTTTTGGCAATGAGGGCTCACTGGGGCTCAGGGACAATGCAGCCACTCCCTGCAGTGACTAGATGCATCTTGAAGAGTCTGTTGCATAAGGGGGCTTCTTAAGTAGCCAGGTAAAGCAGCTGTGTGGTTAGATTTTGACCCTTCCTTAAAAAGTACTGACTTAGCAAACAAGAGGATATTGTGCAGAGTTCTATGCAGTCCTGCTGTTTTCAATGCAGATTAATCTTTCCATATC